ACTCCAGCACCAGTATCCGTTGGGAATGGGATTCTCGAAGTTGTCAATATCCTCACATCCTCACGGCCAAAATTCCACAGTGCTCGGTGTTTCCCTACGATCCGTAGAAGGACCGGTGTGTACGACATAGCCCGAAGAGTTAGCACGCTGAAGTGGCAATGGGCAGGCCACATCGCTCGAGGATCTGACAACCGTTGGGTAAGAAAGGTCCTCAATTGGCGACCACGTACCGGACGACGCAGCGTGGGGCGGCCCCCAACAAGGCGGACTGACGACATCGTCAAATGTACTGGGAGCCGCTGGATGCGGATAGCGCAGGACTGCGCATTGTGGCGTTCTATGGGGGAGGCCTATGTCCAGCAGTGGACAGAGAAAGGCTGATGGATGGCTGGATGGAGTTCTACTACGACTTCGGAATAACCTATACCTTCGACTTCTAGTGAGAGCTAACAAAACAGAGAATTGAACACAATCAAAGAATTGAACGTAAATCTCTCTCATCTTTAATGAAAACTCGTTCTGATGCTTTAAATCGTTGGATATGGTTTTCATTATGGCTTAAGATATATAATGTTACTAAGATGTTCGCAGTCGTGGAAGATATCAGTGACGATTTCTTTAAAATATTCATTCTTGACTGTTCATAAAAACACAAGTGCTTCCCATGAGGATTCCCCCGATCTAGTTAAATCATATACAGTTAGTCTCAGTGCGTGACAATGAACGTATTGCTAAATTTATAGACGTTTTTATCCATACAATTTGATGAGCTTTCATCGCTCTAGGAGAAGTGTTGAGGTAATTTTGTAAAAGTCAGTTTCTCCAAAAACTTTGGCCAGTTTCAATTTTGACCCCTGTAATAGTTCTCCTTTTTCTTCTTCTTTCTGTTATATAATATTAGGAATACATTTTAAAACTTGATTTTTCTGTCTATCTAAACTTTTTGTGTACATATCTTTCTTCTTATTTATTTGTCAAATAGTTTGTTTCAGCTTCATTATTTCAGCAGACTTAATTTTCTGATAGCTTCTTAGGACACTGTAGGTAGTCAAATCATCATCATTTTGGACGCTGTTAATAGAATACATATATAGATGCTGTACATGTGATTTTTATGCATGTATGTCTTCCTAAGAAAAATGTTTACTAGCCCATAAACATATGTTTAACAAAACTTTTCTCAATAGATTTTGTTTTAAAAATTGATCAATTTTGTACTTACGAATCAAATATCTTAATAACTAATATGACTATAAACACGAAACTTATTTTGTTGGATAGCTTTTTAATAATTCAAACTTCTTGCTTAGTGAAATTTCGATACGTTTAGTATTTACTTTATTTATAATCTAACTGTATTTGCGTGTCGTTACTTTTCATTCCGTAAGTCATTCTTGTAAGTCACAGAACACTTTCTGTGTTCTGTGTTGTAAGCTCAGCACGCCCGTGACAACTGCCAACGTCTGTTCTGTGCACGTTCTGTGTTTTAATTTTTCTCGATCATATCAAACTTGTTTACTATTAAAAATTTCAAAGAAAAAGGAGACGCTTGCAAGAATTCCTAGAACATGCGGCAATTGTTAGAGAGCAACAATTATTTATTCAGTTTAATAAAATACTATGGTCCAGTTCCCACTGATGCGGAGTCGAAACAAAATGTCAGTGCTAACTTATACTACATTTTTTACAAATTATCTTACTATTATAGTTATCGATTATCACAGTTTTTTTTTCAAAATTTTACCGATTTTCTCTACGTCACTTCTCCCTTTAATAAGGATTGTTATCCCTGCTAATAAGGATTGTTATCCATTTTTTACCCTTTTTATTAAAATTTTACGATTTTGTTTATATTACTTCTTCTTTTTGTATCAAATGAAGATTGTTTTATATTTTTAATAAGAAATACGTTTTTTCTTAAAATTTTATCGATTCTCTCTATATTACTTCTCTTTTTTACTAATATGAAGATTGTTATGCATTTGTCACTGTATTATTAGGTCCTTTCACATGAAATTAGTGTTTTGTCGTACTGACCACTTTGGTCTAAAATATATCCTCTTTGGTTAAGAATTTAATAATTAAAAAAAATATAAATTCATTTAGCTGGTACATTTGAGTTTTGAAAACAGTCATTGTGATGAAAAGTGGATACTGTACCATAATCGGAAGCGCTCGTTGCAATGGCTGAACCCTGGAGACCCAGCGATATCCTGCCCTAAACGAAAATTGACTCAGAAAAAGTTACTTCTGAGCGTTTGGTCGAGTGGCGCCGGTGTCGTTCACCACATATTTCTAAAATCTGGCCAAACGATTACGGCTGATATCTATTGTCAGCAACTGCTAACCATGAAGGAAGAACTAGCTGCTAAACAACCGAGATTGGTCAATCGCTCTAGGCCACTGCTGCTTCACGACAACGCAAGACCACACACTGTATAACAAACAACCACTAAGTTAGATGAGCTACAATTGGAATCTCTGCAACATCCACCGTACTCCCCGGACATTGCTCCAACATCCTCCATTTTCCGGAATTTGGACAACTTTTAACAAAGGAAATAAATTCAACTCCGATGCGGCAGTCCAAACTACCTTCAAAGAGTATATTGATTCTCGCCCCCATGGTTTTTTTAGTAAAGGGATCAATGAACTACCTATGAGATGGCAAAAGTGCGTAGATAACAACGGTTCATACTTTAATTAATTAAATATATTTTACAAAAAAAATATATATATTCCTCCCGTACAAAACGCCAATTTCATATGTAAGGACCTTTTTGAAATTTAAGGAATATTATTGAAAGATTATTACTTCTTTTCACTTCGAATGAAGATGCTTTTTATACATTTATAGCTGTGGTTTTTCATATATTTTTACTTGTGAGTTATGTGTTACTTCTTTGCTTAGCTGATTAAGAGGTTGTCTACAGTTTATAATATGTTATTTGGCAGTTCGTTTCCATTTTTGAATTTTTCTAGTATTATAGCTACACCTACCAATTCTCTTTGCTTCAAATGACGATTTTAAATTTTTATGTTAACAAGGTGGCAAACCATACAAAAAATATAACTCACGCCGTTGCCTACTTGACCCAATCCCCTACCCCGTGGAGCCCTGGAACAAAAGACGACCTCCGTGGCTGAGTGGTATGTACGCCGGGTTACATGGTGTCGCCTACTCGAGAGGTTCGAGTCCCAGTGGGGGCAGATGTTTGTTTGTTGAATACGAGCATTGCTACACCAAGCATGGGTGTTTAATATCTATTTGTATATAAATATACTTATATATGTATCAGTATTTGTATTCTATCCATTACCCTAATATCCCATAACACAAGCCTACAGTGCTTACTTTCGGGCTAGGTTAATTGGTGTGAGTGTTGGAAATATTTATTTATTATTATTGATACTCACAAACTGAAACACAACACCACCTAAAAGATACTGTTATTTTACTGTGGTCTTATGTAAGGTGAAGGTTATTTTTCAAGACGCGCGCTCCAATTCGAGCGGAAAGTTTGCAAGTTTTCTAATTGATTGATTTTTTCGTTTTTCGCTTCAAATAAAATTATGTATATTTTTAACAATTGCCAACATCGCTTTAAATAGGAATGTTTTTGTTAAATTCATTGGTACTCGTTTTCGTAATACAAGCATTAATCTGTAAATTATTACTGACCACTTTTAAATAAATTTATTTTCTATTGCTTGCACTGAGTATTTGTTTCACTATAAATGGAGTACTTTCTCTGTTTGTTATTTGTATTTTAACATTGCACTTTCATATAAACACCTATTCATTTAGTGGAAATTATTATATCTTGATTCAATTAAAGCGAATTATTGAGCTGTGTAGCCCTCTGTCTAGGGTTACAGCAAACAAAGCTCTATGTAATCAGCAAGCATATGGTTACTATTGAGGCAATAGGAATTATTACCTACGAAGACATTTGGTATCGTTGTAAAGCTAGGAATTACGTATTAATTTGTGATCAGTTTCCTATTATATCAATTATTATATTAACGAGCATCTTAGATTTTGTGACATATTATGTGAGTTTACAGTAAGTTTTTTATTGTTTTGTTTCGTAAAGAATTGGTTCATGTGATTTTGTCGTTTAAGTATTTAACAATAGCGGAAAAGATCTAATTAAATATAAATGAGAAAATCACGTTTGTGATCAGTTTCCTATTATATCATGTATTATATTAACGAGCATCTTAGATTTTGTTACATATTATCGAGTTATGTGAGTTTACAGTAAGTTTTTTATTGTTTTGTTTCGTAAAGAATTGGTTCATGTGATTTTGTCATTTATTTAACAATAACGGAAAATATCTAATTAAATATAAATGAGAAAATCACGTTTTTCTCACTAAAGCTATCATCTTTTAACAATGCCATTCCAGTTCGATTTTTTAAGTTATTAATATTAAGATATTTGTCATTTCAAAACACCGTTGAAACTACTAAATTATGGGTCATACAGAACAGTTATACAAGCTGAACAATAGTGTGTGATTACACTAAACAGAGCTTTTTATCCTTGTTGTTAGTCCTATTTATTTGGTTACACTATGTATTGAATATTATGTCAAATGATTTTCACAACGTGTCACTGGGTCGCTCTTTTATGGATGCTTTACGAATAACTCCTTAAATAACTTTTCATTGGTAAAAATATGTCACGTGGACGCATGAATGTAGCAATCGTACTTTTCTTGTGATGTCGTCTAACAGCTCCCCTGAATTAATCCTGTTTTATGATGTAATTTCATTTGCAAACCTTCGTCCGCTAAGAGCGCTTATAAATTTATTTCAAAAGTTATCAAGTTTTGGTAAAAGTGGAACGCAGCGCGCGGAAGGCAGCTCGCGTCATCGTTTGCGTGGCAGGCGCGAAGCGGCGACGCGTCACCCACTTCCTCAGCCATGGCCTTCACGATAATACATCCACCTCTTTCGAACGTAAGAGCAGAGCGGTTTGAGAAAAGGACGGCGCGCGTTCTACGCGCCGTGGCGGGCTAACAGCAAACTTTACAGAGTTGGCGAAAACCCGTTCAGTCGTTTCTCGGCGGTCTACCAGAGTGCACCCGTTCCGTTTTCCCGCAGCAACTTTCCGAAGTTCGTGATGACGTTGCGTTGCGTTCTCGCGGTGCTGGCTTTGGCCGGCGTGACCCTAGCTGGCCCCGATGTAACCGAACTGAAGGTGGACGTGGTCAGCGTGCCCGAGGGATGTGAGACCAAGTCGAAGCAAGGAGACATGCTCACCATGCACTACACCGGCACGCTGGACGACGGACACAAGTTCGACTCCAGGTTAGATGTTTTTTGTTTGTTTGCGAGGCGAAATCTTTTATTACAGCGACCGCGATTTAAAGTATAAATATTTATAATAAAAAAAAAATGTTGCTATGACTTACCATCTTACCATAAAGTTTTTTTCAACTATTAATTGACTTTATTTAACAACTTTTCTCGATCGATACATCTTAAAAATCTCGGATCTCTTTAATACTTGTATATTTATTTTTTGTGGCGTAGCCTCAGTGCAAATTTCGCGTAAAACTTTATGGTCAGGACGAACAAGCGTTCACTCCGTGACCCGGTTCTCGGCGTTGGCACAGCACATTCTGTGATTCTTACAAGCACCGGTGACTCAACAACAATGCTTGTCAAACTATTTCCGTAGCGCAAAATCACGATGCTTATTTATGAAGAATCACAAATATTTACATATCCATTATGTATATTATACAATGAGGATTTTCCGCTTGTCTGCGTACCGACTTAGTGGCACGTGGTGACGTGTTCTGAGACTTCGGTAACACATTTAATTTGGTGACCTTATTAAACATAACATACTTCGCTTAAACATAGCAGCGAGTTTCTGAATGTTTTATTTATGGTACGTATCAACATATTGCATATTTGAAACATTTAAATTGATTGATACAGTAATTTAAACAGACTATTTTTTATTATTTAGATAACTCGCTAGAAATTACAATACTTTTTAGACAGATTTATTAAAACAAAAATAAAACGTTCTCCGAAAACGACAGCGATTTGGTTGCAGACAATCAGCTAAAACTTCAACCTATCTATCGATAGGGTCCTGTAGATCCAATACTATCGACACAAAATACAATAGCTGGCGCAATCTTTTTTTTAAAACAACACAAAAACTGTTTGTAGGTATTGGAAATAAATGAAATGATATTACTATTCATTACCTAAATTTCCACCTGAAATGCATTTACTATCAAATGTGTTGGTTGTGTGTTATTTATGGAAATAATTTCTATCTATAGGTAAACTAACTTGCTCAGGAGGAAACTATACTTACTTATATAGATATCCTAGAGTGTATCTTGTTTACTTAAAATTTAATAGCTGGCGCAATTGGGATCATTATGAATAGTCTTAAAGTAAAATGAAAATAATATATAAATTTGCTTCGTTATTATATCAGCAGTTACCTAATTAAGTAGGTACTTGTTAATCTTATCAGTGACGAACGATGATTTGAACGATGGTTACCAGATTGAAGTACCTACCATGGTAGGATACTTAATAAGAATTTACTTTTTCATTCGCTTGTTGCTACTTCGAATAATTAGGTAAGTACCTAATCGTAAAGTTATTTAGACTGTAATCATTTTTAAGTTTTTTTTTATGGTTGAAGATGTTTTTTTATTTATACTAAAAGCTACTGTTACTTGGACACGTCAGTAAGTTTGTCAAAGCGACGTGTTGTCTTAATATAAAGCGGAACCTTAACTTTAATTGAAGTTAAAAATTAATTGGCAGCTCTGAGTGCACAAAGACGAGGTTTTCTACACAAAAAGTAGCCTTTGTTCTCCTCCAGCTTTACTTTTGCCTGCATACCAAAATCAAAATCGGTTCAGCAACTGCTAAGGTATGAACATGTTTCATAAAGACGAATAGACAGACTGTCATATTATAGTATGGATTTATCAACAGAAAAAAATAACGGATGCGTTACTATCAAAATTTCGTACCTACATTGTGCGCGAACGCAGCTATAATATCGGTAGTATGGCTGCCTTATCGTAAGGTTTATCTCAATAATAATGAACTGTGTAACCCATACCCTTATCAACTCACACGCAATTCTGTTTAAATTGTATTTCACTCACTTCTACTTACATTTTTATATTCTCTTACTAAGTAAATCTTTATTGATTAAATAATAGCAAAATTTAAATAAACAAAAAAATTTAAAACTTCTTATTAGTTATGTTTTTATTTTTTTAAGCATGTAACTGCTAGATGTTTAAATCTGAAGGATTTTTTTTTAGAAAAAATAACCATGTGGACCAGGCAGCAGACGGGTCGGGTCCCTATTACCTACCATGTTACCTACAATGCGAAGAGATGGCGCTGCTTTGCTGCTTAAGAAAGACTAGAGAAAATTCGACATGACCATCAGGGCCGCGATAGTATAATGGTCAGTGCATTCGCCCGGATAGCGAAGGGTGCAGGTTCGTGTCCCGTCTGCTGCCTGGTCCGCGTGGATTTTTTTATAGTAAAATTAACTACCTACTTATTATTCTTTCTGTCTTTTTCTGTTTAAATAATTAGGGTGCATAAATGAGTGCATTTAACACACATACATCCTATGATTATGATTTTTACAATTATATATACCAATCATTACGTTAACAACGGGAGATTTAACAAATCCAAATATATTTTTAACTTAATTAGGTAGATAGATTTTCATTATTTGTTTTTGAAGTGGCAACTGATATTCTGTGAAAATTTCAACTAAGTATGGTACTAGTTACGGTTCATGTGATACAAGCCGCTGACAGACAGACGCACAGGGAATTCTTAGTAATTTGGATCCATTCTCATCAGAGAAGAATGCACCAAACGCTGCTCTATTAAGGTCTTCGTCGAACCTACTGATGAGGCTCCTCCATCTCAGTACAACAAACATGAAAACATTTAAAATGTTTCTAACTCTAGGTTTTATTTAATGTACCGTGTGTGTCGGAGTAGTACTTTCACTCAAGACCGGTACGTAAACAGATTCACTGACTTTCACAAGCGCTTGCACAATGAGCGTACGAGCGAATCTGCACACTCTTTGACCTGCCCATGCCGATTGGTTACCTAAACACCGAACGAGAACGCCCAACTGCGGGGGTTTTACCTGGTTTTAAAGTACTACATTTCCGCATATTGCGAAAACTTTGAGGCTCTTTCGCTCTTTACTTTAGGTAAAGTTCAGCGGATAGTTGGAGTACATATTGGATTTATTTAAATAAACATGGCCTAAGTCTGTATACAGTAAGTACACCGTCTCAGAAAATTGAGAAAAATTTACAGATTTATTTTTTCTGAAAATGAAGGGATTAACTTAACTAACTATATGAAATATAATGGAGCACCGTTTAATGGATTTTTTTTGTGAAGTAAGCCAACATATCTTTTATGCATTGCGTTAAAGAATAAAATCACCACCTAAAAATTATCACTATCATTGAACAAACCTTCTAAAAGCGATAGAAATTAAATCAAAAATTGTTTAGGCTACTCATGAAAATATCTAGAAGCTACGCCATCGTTTTGTAAATCTGCGGCAGAAGACCTTGTTATGAGAAGAACTGGCAAGAAACTCAGCAAGAGCTGTTTTTCCCCCTGTATCATTAACATTATATACGGAGACATCAAGTTGAAAAATGATTTCAATATGAGATGATTCATGATTTCAAATTATTATATATATATACAGGGTGTGACAAAAGTCCGAAATAAAACTTTAGGGTTTGGTTGTGTTCCTTGTATAGAATTACCTACGAAAGTTTGACGCCTTTCAGACCACTTTTTTTTTCTAATTAAAATAATAAAAATATCGTTTTATACCTGCCTATGACAACCCTATAAATGCGTACGATTACTACTACCTAAACAGACCCCCCTCTCTCCCCTAGGCGCCCCTGCGCCCCGCTCAGATACCTACAAATTTTTATTTCGGAATACAAACATACAAATTTTATTTCGGAATTCTGTAACACCCTGTATAATAATTTCTACGGTCTCGTTTCACGTTTAGATAAACTAAGCTTAACTTCTTCGAAACACCAGTCCGCCTTTTTTAAGCTAACATTGCAATAGCTGAAGCTTAGTTTTCACGATACGGCCTTTGGCCTGCCTAAGTGCAATCATTAACCGTTGCAATGCTTTCCCCTGGCGCAAGATTCAATGGCACATAGGTATAGATATGAGTTTGGTTTCACTCTTAATTTCTCACGCGTGGCACACAATGCGCGGTCTTTTTTAATTACATACTTATTATAACTTATAACCACAAAAACAATGGACTTTATTCTACACTAGCGGCCGCCCGCGACTTCGTACGCGTGGAATTAGTTAGAAATCACGGATATCTATGGATAGAAATAAAGGTTCACCGCTCGTTCCCCGTAGGTGATAGCGGGATAATATGTAGCCTATATGTTGACCCGACTTCTTAATAATATTCTTGCCAAATTTGAAGTAAATCCATACAGTACTTTTTGAGTTTATCCCGGACATACATACAGACAAACAGACAAAAATTCTAAAAACTATATGATCTACTCATACAATCGATACCGAAGCCAAAAGCTTCGGTATCGATTGTATGAGTAGATCACACCCCAAGTATTCTTTTAAAAAAATATTCAATGTACAGTTTTGACTTTCCTACCATTTTATTATATGTATAGATCATGAAGTGTAGAAGCCACAGTGTTATATATTTCCAGAACCCACTTTCATTAAGTATAAATTTGCTAATTATAATTAATAGCAAATTTATACTTAATGAAAGTCGGTTCTGTAGTAAAATATATATAATGGTAGGATGATATCAACATTTTGTGAGTTTGTTATACTCGCGCTATTGCCAATATAAAATCGTATTTAATCGCCGTGTTTCTGAATAAACTTTTACTTTATATGTAGATAATTGTTATTATATTTTCTTTTTTGCAAATTTCAAATTAAATATAGGAAAATACATACATATATATATTTTAAGAAAAAAATATTATCTCAGGTACCTAACAAACAGGTCTGAACCACCAACCTAGCTCTATTCTTTGACTATTTTTCCTTCCACGCCAATTCTTGTGTAGCTTCTGTAAATATTTACTTGTATTACATAAATTATTTTTATTAGTTTCAAACTTCATGTACAGTCAACAACAGGGTTAAGTCATCCAAAACTTTTGATTGTATTTCTGTTGTCAACTTAAAGTACCTACTGGTCGTACACTAAGTGTTAAGTAATCCTTTGCAAG